GCGTGTGATGGGGCTCAACAGCAATGATAGGACCATCAGGAGCAGCTACAGGCTGCTGGGAGCCCTGTCCCTGCTTCAGCTGGTCATCACTGTGTGTCTCCAGCTCAACAACTTCAGACAGAGACAAAGAGCCAGGCAGGAGTGGAAGCTGTACAGGAACCTCAGGTACAGGACCAGGGCCGGGCCCACTTACACTCCATCTGGTCAGGGCAGAGTTTTAGATTACAAAAAGATATCCTTTTCTACAGTAAATATTTCAGTGTTGACATGAACAGTGTTTTGTCAGTATTTTAAACCGCAGGAGTTGCATTTTTTTTTTATGATAAAGGTCAAATCTGCAACAACATACTATCACTATAAATCATAATTCTCCAGATGTAAGGGAACATGTTTGTTTGGTATAGGCACCAGCAAATATCACATAATTTTTTATATTTTTTCAGCCCTAACTTGAACAGACTTGTCAACAGTTAATTTGAAGTCTTTTGGGCAGGTCATTTATTTTGGTTTGCCAGCACTCAGCAGGTGAACCATACAGGATGCTGATCTAGAAACAGCCAGACCACTGCGAGAACTACTGGACTCTTTGTAATTGAAGCATAGTAGTAAAAGACCTACATGACATGACATGAGTTTAATGCTGAACTCTTTGAACTGTCTGTCTGCAGTCCTCAGCGCACACAGAGCTCGAGCCCCAAAGCTGCTCGCTGTATCCTCTGTCTGGAGGAGAGGAGACACTCTACCTCCACCCCCTGTGGACACCTCTTCTGCTGGGAGTGCATCACAGAGTGGTGCAACACGAAGGTCAGGCTTATGTTATGACTTGCTCAGGTATAGTGTGTTTACTGGCTGTGTACATCTACTAATTATTCCCCAAAACCAGTTTGCAACACAGACTTTTTAAGATAACAGCTTTTGAGGCATTATTTCCCAGCAGAGACATTTCTTGATGCTTAAGCCCAGTATTACCTCCTTTAGCCGAGTCATCCCCTGCGTTTCAACTGCAGCATCACAGCAGGTGATAACAGCTATTGTATTGTATGTATTCTTACTTACTCACGTATGTATTCTTACTTACTCAGATCCCAGTGTCAGTGTTTACTGATCACACCTACTGCCATATTGAAGCTGACTTCAAACCCATTACCTCCCTCTAAAACCTCAGTATTGTTTGAAAACAACCTCCTGAAAAACGTGGTGTTCACTAACTATTACTGAGCCTCTGAAGCAGATAGAAACGTGAAATTAAAACCATTTGAGAGCTTAAACCTTTGACTTTGATTGTAAATCATTGACTTTCCCCCAACATTCTCAGTTCAGTTCATTTTTTTTTTTTAAACATGTATTTGTGTGATGTTTCTCACAGGCTGAGTGCCCCCTGTGTCGGGAGAAGTTCCAGCCTCACAGACTGGTGTACCTGAGGAACTACAGGTAGATCTACAGAGCTGGATACTAAACACATACAAACACATCCTGCTGGTGGACTGTACTGCTTTGTAACACCTGTGCTGGCAGGCTGCCGCTCAGGAGCATGTGAAAACATAAACAGTGTTTACTTGAGACGACGTCTTGTAGCTTCTTCAGCTTCATGCTTTTTTCAGCTTTTTGTTAATTGATTAGATAAACGTTGATTGAGAATTTAATTTCGGCTTGTATCAGTCGAATTGTGTAAATATCACTAATATTTTTATTTAAAACTTGAACAGATGTTAATAAAATGCAGGGATGTATTAATACTTGTCTGGTTTCTGTTTTAGGTTGTTTTAAAATTGAAAATGAACATGGACAGATTTCAGATGTAATTATCCTACAGTATTTTAACATTTACAGATTACTGTACAGATTAACACTAAATTAAATAGATCAAGGCATCTGCATAGGCAGGACATCAGAGCAGTTGATCTCTCTCAGCATACTGTGCAGGTCCAAACCTGAAAAGGACTGAGCTGGACATCGAGACAGGGTTATCACGTTTAGCTCTTCAACGGCCCCAGGCTCCAAATATCTCTGGAGACCTTTAGACAGCTCCCTGAAACCCTCGCGACATAACAGGTCTCGATGTACTGTTGTATCTTGTAATGCCAAGATGGTCTGACCGTCACTGTCTCTGTGAAGAAAAACGATCGACTACCATTGAGTCATATATTCAGCAGCACACATGGGTCATGTGACGGCAAACATCTGGTCAATGATTTCCAAACCTACAGAGCACTGAAAATTAGTTTAGTGCTTGACCTCCCATGCTCACACTGAAGGGCTCGCTCGACCATAAGCCACCTGTGCCGCCCCACAGAGGCAGAGAGCAGAAACTACAGACACAAGAAAGTTCAGGCATAAATGGTTTGAACTTTTGAGGCTTTTACAGAATGGTATTCTTGGTAATTATTATGCATTAAAAAATTCAAATATTAACTCTGGGGAGGCCTAAAATGTGCAAAATAAAAGCTTAGTGGAACCTAGATGTGCCATTTTCAATTACACTTTGAATACCAGGGTTTATAGTTAAAGGCTTTTAAACCTATAACACAGCAGCTTTACAATAGGCTCTGTCTCTACACTTGCTATAGGAACACCTGAAGCTTGGCATGGCTCTGAAACAGCAGTACAGTGAGTGTTGAATGGAAAGCAATCATGTTCCAACCTCTGGCTGTTGTGGAGTTTAAGTGATGAACTGTGAAATCATATCTGGAACTGGAAGTCTTTATTCCTCCTGGCAGTGGGATAAACAGTGAGATAACTCATGAGATGTGCCGTCACATTTAGCTGTGGGCTGGATGTCGATCTGATTGCCAGTTGGCATGAGCCTCGCTGACACTCAGCCTTCACACGCACAGTTATCTTCATTTACATCCAGGTTAATATGGTTAACATTTTGTTGGCCTTTTCTAGATGGTGATATCTGATTTTTGGGATTTTTGGAAATCAAAGAGCAGTTATTGAAAATCACAGAACATTATAAAAACTGGACTTGGAGACATTAAAGGACACTGTTCAGACTATTTAGATGGTTCATTTTGTTGAAATGGCATCTTCTGTTCAGTCCACTGCTGGGTTTCTTCTGCTGTTTCTGACATCCACAGGGTTGACATTTGAGCAACAAAAAGAATTACTCATGTTACAAATGACAAAGGTTATGAACACCTGGGGCTGTAAGTCAAAAACATTCAAACTAACCTACACTGTGGTGCCGTTAAGCAAACCATTATATCCTCAACTACTGCAGAGACACTACTCAGTGGACTGTAGAAGCAGACTGGCTGTGAATGAATGAAATAAGTATTGTGTAGTCAGCACACCCTGCAGACCCTGCTGAAACCAAACAGATGCTGTTTAAAGGAGCATTAGCAGCAAAACTCAACATATTAATGACTTTTTACAGCTTTCTCGTGGCCCCAGACCAACTGCCAGCACTCAAAAGTGTTTACATCTAAACATTCAGGCCCAACACACTCTAGTGGCGTATTCTCTTTTCTGTTGACGATACGCCAATTCACTTACACTGCTGTCATTTTGGATAATCAGGTTTTCCCCTCTGTGGAGAAAATGTCTGATAGTGGGAGCAGATGCTGCCGGGGTAGCACTGATCCCTGGGCTCAATCATGTCTATTACAACACTGCGATGATGGATGTCCGCTGCTCTTCCACTTAGCCCTCCTCATCATTACGGCCAGGCACTTTGTTGTGTAATATGGCCAATTACAACCTGAAAAGAGTATTAATTTGAAAATATGAAACTTTTCTTTCCGTGTCTTTGGGGAGCCAGTGAGGAAAGCTGTGAATGTTGCTGGCTGCAGTGTGAGCTCCACCTAGTGGACACAGAGAAAATCTGTTGTTAGTTTCAAAACCAAAAGGATGCCAGACTGTCAATGCTGCTTTAAGGTTTTATCTGGCAGGTATGGTCTACCTGTCACGCTTCCTCACTCCTCAGCTCTGTGATTGTTGCTCAGATGCAGCCAATCTGGAGGTGTTTTATATTTACAGATTGTACATTTACTCATTGATTGTCAATCTGTTCACACATATAATTGAGACAAACTTACCTCCATAGACAGGAGATGAAAAAGTGTTGACGAGAGAAGATTGAAGAAAAGAGGAGGAAAGGAGAGCAGAGGTGGAGCAGATGTAAGAGAATAAGATATGCATTTAATATTTTGTACATCTTCACTTTCATGATCAGAAATATTAAAAATCTTTTTGTTTTATATTTTCTTTGCGTGGAGGACATTTACAGGGATAGAAGAGTGGAGCTGAGAGTGAAAGAAGAAGAAAAGGGGAAAATGAGAAAAGAGTGATCAGGAGTAGATCAAATAAAATACTGTTCATAGTATTACAGTACATGTGCATGTTGTTTATCCTATGATGCATTTCCTTAAAGAATTTAATATCGTCAGAGTAAATGTTCTTCTTTTGGCCTAATGTTCAGATAAGTTAAGACAATCACATGGCCTTGTTGTGCTCAGTTAGCAGCACATATTATTATGGTCTGGATTTAAATGTAGACTTGTCATCTTAACATTAAATCATTAAATCTGTGAACTCTACTCCAGCATAGAAACAAAAATAGGTTTCAAGATTAGTGATGTTGTTTATGCCAACTTGATTCTTCACCTATGTCATGTAAATTCAAAATAGTGCTATCATCACTTTTGCCTCTTTTTATGTGGCAGTAGTGAAAATTAGCCATTAACAAAATGTGTTGAGTTGTGGTTTCAGCATGATGGAGACAGAACAATTAAGATTAAAAAAATATGATGCAGACTCTGGATAGTTTTTTCTTGGGCAACAATCATGTTTTCCCAAAATGATGTACAAATGGCTTGATACAGTAAATAGTGCGTGTAGCAACTCTGAATGGGAGGAAACTCCCAGGAGTAGAATGAAGTTGGGGCTAAGGCCTGAATGTTTACAATGTCTAGCTCCGCCCCAGACTCCCCCAAACCTACCTGTCTGTCAACCTCCCACCGGCGTGCTTCGGCCTGCGCATGCTCTGCACTCCGACAGTCGCGGGTGAACAAGAGGAAGAAGATACATAGGAATGACAGAGGAAGTTCAGCCGGTTCCAGCTAAGGCTTTGACTTCAGCAACAGCTTGCACTCGTAAAAGGAAGACGGTAGCAGAAAAAGCTGCAACCAAAAAGAAACTGGAAAGTGCAAGAAGCCAAACAAGAGTCAACATTGGCGTCGCTTTTCAACAATGGCGGCAACTGAGGAAACAGAAGTGCCTGAAAAGCGACGCAATGGTGGCTGAATTTCTGCTAGACATGTAATTACCATGTTTGTTTTTGTTTTGGGGAGAGGTGCGGGTGTTATACTAACCTAGCTAGCTAGCTGTTTCATAAACTGTTTCAACATAGACCTACGTATGTTTGATAACGCTGTTGGTGTAAGCAACATTAGTCATGCTAGTAGACAGTGTAGCTAACTTCATATGTTTTCACATAACACTGCCTTGTATGTAATCTGTGTGGCCTATATGTTTGGCGATGTCTGCATTGTAGTTGTGTGCAGATGTCGTTTGATAGTATTTATCTAATGTCTGTAATGGCTGCGAGCGGGATGTTTGTATTTTGTGTTTTTTAGTTATGAGAAAGACTCCTCAACTTCCACACCTTCAAAAACACGGATTGATGAAACCACCACTTCTGCCCCACCTCCACCATTTCGTCAGAGTTTCTCCTCCTCGACCGGTGAGTGCAACTTTCTGCTGATCGAGACGGGGCTTAGCTATTCAAACCTCTTACAACCAGGTTGCCGGCGAACCGTTTAGGAACGTAAAGTGTTTGAGAAGGCGTAATTGCTTAGACCACTGCTGTCCTTCATGGGCAATATATTCATAAATATGCAAATTTCTCTCATCTGTTGCTCGTTTGTTTTACATACATCACAATATTGGTTCTAACAGTCATTCCAGCCTCCTAGTTGTGACCATTTCTCATTAGAAAAATATTCTTGAATTTATTATTCGTGAACCTGCGTCAATCAGCCAGACTTGTATTTCTATGTAGCAATAGCCCTGTGTTGTGTTGTGTTGTGTTGTACGTCCTATAAAGAGATTCAGATCTAATTATCTAAATGTCATTCTTATAGAGATGATGACTTCTCAGTAACTGGAATTGAGAAGTTGGAGAAAAGCAGCGCTCAGGACACAGCTATAAAGGAATTGGATGCAAGGTATGGTAACTGTAGTGACAAATGTTGTCATTTCCCAGCTACAAAGTGTACTACAAAGAGGTTGTTCTCAATGCACGCTGACTGAAGAATGTTCACAAGTATCTGTGTTTCAGGTATGTCAGCGAAGGTCTGTTTTCCTCTGTGCATGTGTTTCACTGTAATTCTACATTGGTTAATGCCACAAATTGTAATAGAGGAACATAAAGCACCTCTGTATTGTTTCCACTGTGTTCTCAGGTTCACTACAGAACTCGAGTCCTTTCACAATCATATACTAAGCACTTCAGCTTCTATCCACCAGTATACACAGCTTGGTCCTGTGCTGGCTGGCCTGGACTATAATCAACAGACCACATTAACAAACCATACACATCATCACAATCATCATTTCACTATGGTCACTCTCTTTTGCCAGATATGGCAAGGAGGTGTACAACGAGAAGAGGAGCTTGTACACAATCATGGCAGACAAGGGCTACCACTACATCCAAGACCTCTGCACAGAGGGCTGGTTGCCTCTAAGGAGCCTCAGCGCAGAACCATGAGGCTGGATGATCCTCGTCAGCATGGCCTTCTGCCAGGTGACACTGCCCCAACCACCCAGGAGCTGTTGCAGAAGCAAGTCAGCAGAGGGCTAGGTGAGTTGGGTGACATTCTTGTGTGCAAAATCCATATGGCTGTTATGAATAAGTCCAAAGTGAAGATTTATGTCTGCCACATACCATCCAAAGATTCAGAACCTCAGAACTACTTATAATGATCTAAAATACTGTAGTTACCTCAGCATGGCACAACCATATAAACAAGCACAAATATACTAAAAAATCACTGACACCATTGTCACCAAATGATTACTGACTCAATTACTGTCAAATTACTATAGATGGCAAAATTAATGTACAAATTTGATATAATAAAGGCCCTCTTCTATTTATGACCTAAAGTAAATATTGCCAAATACTTATACACTATAGCTATGACAGTGAAAACTGATATGTCACTTGATGAAATGCAGACAAACCTGTAGTGTTCTTTGACAGTTATATGGGTGTCTTTAACATAGATACAATTACTGTCATGTATGTAATTGTGATATTCTTTCTAAAGGACAGTCACTGCCAAAGCAGAAGAAGATTGCCACAGCGCCCACATGATGCCACATGCAGAGCCTCCCTGACCCGTCAGGCTACACTCATCTCTGCTTATGATCAAAAGTAAATATATTGTGTATATATCTTCTAGTATTTCAGTAATGTCATATATAATTTCCCCTAAAAATACAATAAACAGGTTACATACCACATTGGATTGTGATTTTTTTGTGTAGTATATAAAGAGATTAGAAATGGAGGAAGAAAAGGAAAAGACAAGCATCATTTTAAAGATTTTATTCAAACAAAGACAGAATAGATTGTGCATATAAATAATGCAAATAAAAATTAAAATATTGACACAAGTAATGTATAAAGAAAAATATTACTTGGTATTCCTACAGCCCTACATCCTCCTGGGAAAAGGACAGCAAAATACTCAACGTATTGAGTGATAATGCACACATTACTATGGATGAATCCTTGATATTGTCCATGTGGATCTGGGTACTGGTCACGTATTTTCCAGACACAGCAACTAGGGATAACAACTGTGACCCTGTCCTAGTGCTCCGTATTGTTACACAACAGTCTGTAAGCTGCATAGCGGAACTGCTTGCTGTTCTCCCCTGGATACCAGTCAAAAGTTTGGACACACTTTCCCAAACTTTTGACTGGTTCTGTATATGCTTCCATGTATGACAGACACAGAGAACAGACTAGGGACAAAACAAAACACATTATGGAGGGGGAAACAGCAGGGAAAACAATGAGAGAAAAGAGTGATAAAGGCCCAACTCAGTATCCTGTAGAAGACTGAGATGTGGTTAAAACCTCTGAAAAAACTCCCCTTCATTATTAAACAACCCTAAGTTGACTGGTAGATTGGAGTGTACTGTGTGTAGCAATCACTTACATCAACATATGTGCTGAAGCAACTTACTGTAGGACCTGTGTTTCCAAATGCTGTCTGAGTCAGAACTGAAGAGGAAGTACTAAAATCCTTTATTTTGCTTTATTTCTCTGGGTGTTTGAAGCATTCCGGTCATTACAAAGCATAATTACTTATTCAGCTTCTCTCATGTGATGGTTAAAAGTCTCTGAAGTGGAATCATATCCAGCTCAGTTCAGGTAGTGAGAAGTTCTGTAATCTTACTTGTAATTTTCATGAAGCCATATAAACAGAGGATCATCACCAGGGTGTTCCCTGCAATCGCATATACCAGCGTGGTGGTCCAGAAGGCAAACAGGTACATTGTTCTGTCACAGTAAGGCACTACAGTCGTGACACGTCGTGCTTGTGGAGCGTTCAGGTGCTCTCTGTTTGTCTTGCTGCTGGCCAAAGTCTGAATCAGTTTTCTGGAAGTCTGCTTGTCATTGATCATCTTGGTGTGGTTAAGGTTTGGACGGCTCTGGTTCCAGTTCTGCAGGATGAGGCCAAGCTTGTTGTCAGGTGCAGTAGGAGGGTAGATACTGGTGTTGACTGTGCTTTGGCTGGTGATGTTCTTGTTGTAGTTGGGTGGATATACAGAATAAACCTGGTAACTACCTGAGGACAGGGAGAGACTAAATTAATGAATGGATTACAGTCAACACGGTCAGAGACTCTGAGGTGTCACTTACCGTAGAAGAACCAGATGAAGGCAAACAGGACCAGGCTGAGGTTACACACAGTCCAGATCCTGCTGCCCGATGCTGCTGCACAGAGGAACTTTGGCAAGGCAAATAGGCCCATTACCAGCAGGGCCAATATCCCAAACAGCAGCACATACACTGGGATAACTGGCGCTGCTGGACACTCATACATGTACACTGCACCTGTTTACAAAGAGCCCAGAAGCATTTGAAAAACTGCTGTTACAAATGTTTAAGTGGAGTTAAGTCATTTATTTCTTGGCTATGGAAAATAAAAGTTGTATGATTTAATTTAACTTTGGTTTTATATTTGTATGCACATGATGTATAACAAATATAGAAATATGTTTTAAAAAATGTTGAAATGTCTCATTTATGAACAGAAAAGTTATTTCAGTGGCTCACTTACCAATCGTGATCTGAACAAGTGGAAAAGCTGTGACAAGGAGAATGGTGCATCCTGAAGGAGGATATAGAGACAATACAAATTCACTATTTATGAATCTATTAGCTCTTTCTTTCTTTCTTTCTTTCTTTGCTTTTTTTCTGTAGTTTCTTACCTGCAATAAAAACACCTGCACTGAACACGCTGGATAAACATTTCCATTGGAAGTTTCCTGCCATTCTGACACACAGAACAGTCTATGTTGATCTAAGGTGAAAGACAAAGATCAACTACATGACTACAGGTAAACAAACTGACGCTGCTTAATTAAAATACTTGTTAATGCGATAAACTGAAGAGGAAAGTGACTTACCGCCCGTCTTGTGCTGTGTTCTCTGTTAAAACACCTGAGAGTCAGTCGTCTGTGTCTCAACTCTTCAGTGTGTCTCTGAAGAGATGTGTTCAAGAAATTCATTGCAACACCTCGGGAGAAAACGTGCAATGGAGGATATTCCTCGGTTGAGTCAACATTACAGCAACACTAACACTTCACCACTACAACTGCCACCAGTGCTACTGCTGATGCTGAGAGTAATCCCAATGTCAGGAGTAGACATGAGATGGGAAGGTTTAGATCAGGGGACTCACGCAGAGGTTCTGAGAATACAACTATGGATGCATAGTAACAACTTTAAAATGTATGTAAAAAAAAAAAAGAAAGAAAAAGGAACTAACCAACAATTAACTGCGGCACTGAAACTCAAGTATTAACAAAGTCTGTAACTATGTGACATTTTGACAGTGACTTAACAATTCATTTCATTCTGTGAGGGGCCCTTTTCTGAAGCCGGTAGCTCATTCATGAGACTGATCAGACCTAATATATGCTCTCCAGATCGTTATAATACTTTATGGTCCCAGTAATATCATTGTGTACATTTTTACTTAAGTAAATGTTAAAGGGAAGTAACAGTAATAATGGGGACACAGCTTACTGCAGTCAGTTTCATTAGGTATCTGTCCTGTACTGATGACATAATCTGCCTTTGACAGCGTGTTTGGCCTGATGCATGTTCATATTTTGTGCAGAAGCAATTTGATTGTTAATGTGCTTTTATTAAGTACAACAGACTTCAAAGGGTATTTTACAACTTCATTGTGATGAATTATGTGCTGGACAGCTGCAGAAATCTCAAACTAACTTTGTTGCAGCAGCTTCACACTGAGTTCACACAGATGCCTGGTGTTTTATTGCTTTTATATATGGCTTTTATTACCTTTATACATTAAATTGTTTATTGCTTATCAGATCAAAATTGTTTGCACGTGTGGATTAATGTTTCTCATATTGTATACGTAAAAAAAAAAAGATTGCTCTCAAAGGTGTGAATGACTCAATGAATGAGTCATGCTTGATCACATGACCAGTCACATGACGTAAGTTTAGTATGTGCATATTAATGACTAATATATGTAAATTTTTTGGCGAAAAAAAAGGAATCTCCTTTGAGGTGGGAATGCTTGTGTTTTCTTCACATCTGTGGGAGGCTGTCATTTGTTTCTGAGGCTTGTTCAGTGTTTCGCTTCTGTCTGCGCTGAGACTGTCACCAACATGAACCATCAACAGGTGTTAAACACGGTTTATGTAGGTGAAGCAGGATGTTGGGGGACACCTGAACGAGCTTCCTATCACCGAGACACGTCGTTTCGATTCCCATCGCGGTTCTTGATAAATACTCATATTTTATATATAAACTTACCGCATGTTTTATATTAACTGGTGATGTAACGTTTTTTTTCCCACGAGGTGTGGTCACATGCCCCACACACACACACACACACAGGTAGTGTACGGTGAATGAAAATGACGAATCTGCGAGGGACAGCATCTGGAGAACAGGAAGTGGAAACGAAGATCAGCAGACAACATAAGCACCAGTTAGACTGGAACAGCAGAGCTCACTGGTCATATGATCCCTGGTCACCGCAGCCTGAACACAGTCTCCTGCTGCCTGAGCCTCACCTGGATCCGGAGGTAAGATCATGTTAATGCGGCTTTTCGCTGCTGAAACGTGAGAAGCTGCTGTCCACGGTGCATTGTGACTGACAACAAAGGACTTTATTCTGACTTTTTAAGACCAGCGAAGAAGAACCCGCCGATCTCTGCGGGGGATATGTGTTAACAACAGAACTCCGTCTTTCTAACCTGATTATTGATTTTTGATGGCGAAAGGTTCGTCCAGCAGAGATAAGACGGCAGTGTCCCGCCTTCAGCTTAAACGTCTTAACAGTTACTCCATCGTAAATAAACTTTTCTCTCTTATTAGAAGTCGAACTCTCTTTACTTCAGTAAACGCAGTAATCAAAGTACCTCAAAGTAAAAATACTTTAAAGTGCTGCGTTCAGCGTCTGTCAGTAAAAAGTAGAGTCAAAAATATAGAGTGTGCAGACTGGCCTCTTTCACAGCTACAGGCTTTTATAACTCACATTATCGCTTAGTAATGATGCATTTACATGTCAGCAGCATTATAATGTTGGTGGACAAGGTGGAAGCCACTTAAGTCATGATTACTCAGTAAAATGTGTTCTGAGGGTTTTCTTATTCAGCTCTTAGACAGTGATACATATGTCTATGTATGGACATGCATAGACTATCTTGGCATTTCTCCTAATATGACCTGATTATTGAGTCCATAGAGGCATTGATGTTTCATGAATCCTTGAAGCCTTTGGGCCCATTGTATGTCACATATTTTGTATTGTGGTGGACTGAAGTACATGTAGGACTGATGTTTTCTCTCTATGCCATATTTAAGTTTACCTACCATTGTAACCTGATAAAGATGTGCATTTTTTTTGACTGTAGTTATTTTTCTGGGGCCTGGAGGATCCTTTTATAAGGACCTACTTTATTTATATTTTTGCCTTTGTCATTTATTATATTTACTCATTAATTGATGCTGTTTTTCATAACATGTATTAAGTGTAAGTATAATGATTGTAATTAATTTATCTTTTCTGTGTGAAAAATTAGTCACTGCATGCGATTTTCTAATTGTCTATCCCTTTGTCGGGAACTGGTACATAGTGAATTGATGTTTGTTAATTGTGCATTTCTATTACACATGGGTTGATGTGACTGTTAGCAGGCTTACAGCCATTTAAGATGGCTACTGATTGTCAAAAACCATTTTCCTGATGAAAGTCCAGCATCGCAACATTACAAATAAATTCTTTATTGATTATTGTTTATCTGAATACTTATGTCAATGTAATATTTAGATTTCTACTTTTTTTGCAATTTGCAAAGTTGATTATTCACATTGATGAGGGGATTTTTTAAATTTTTATTTCAGCATAAAGTTGCAACAAAACAAGATGTGAAAAAACTGACGGGGGCTGAAGTCTTTCTGAATGCACTGTTCACCACAAACTGATGCCCATGTTGTTATCAACCATGTCTGTGGTGAAGCTGGAGCAGAGCCGAGAGCGGATTCGCACAGAGCTGGACAACGTTGTAGACTTCTGGCTCAAACACTCTCATGACACTGTACACGGGTACTGTAGTACTGTAGTAATTATGCTTCTGAAATAAAAATATTGTCTGCTCATGACTTTTTAAAGTACTATCAACAAGCAGTCCGCATCCTTGTGATGAACTTGAATCTCTGCTTCCTGTTTCAGAGGATTCTTCACTTGTATTGGGAGAGATGGGGCGGTTTATGATGAGCTGAAGTACGTCTGGCTGCAGGGTCGACAGGTACGTCTGGTGCGGTGTGGGCGCTGGCAGTGTAATGTGATCATCAGATGCTATGTGAGTAAACTGGCTTGCTTTCTTCACAGGTATGGATGTACTGCCGCCTGTACCGAACCATGGATCGCTACCGCAGGCCTGAAATCCTTGAAGCAGCAAAAGCTGGTGAGTAGAAATGCTGTGTCATGTTCTCCATTTCAGTTTTGCTGTTTTTGAACAAAACGGTGACACAAATTATTTCTTTGCTGTTGATTCAGGTGATTTGAAGCCTGTAAAATTCCACCTTAAGATTCTTAATGTTCTGGTGTTGTTAAGGTGGAAAATTTCACACATCCACAGGTAAATGTTTGCAGCAGATGGTGAAACACGGTGTTCTTTAGTAGACCCAGGTGATTAATGGCAGTCATGTTTGCGCTGTGCGCTCTGCTTATTCTCTACAAGGCACAGAAGTGTTCTTTGATGGAAACCTTAGGCTAAGAAAAACATGAATGCTTTAACTTGACCACCATGTATTTGTTTTGTTAGCCAAACATTAAAAGGAATTTACAGTAAATGGCTAACGACAGTAGGAACACAGGTTCTTTTAATCGAGAGATGATGTTTGAATAAAACCACAACAACCACTTATATGTGTATGTCTTTAATAGGCGGCTAAAATCATCGGTGTTATGAATTTATGTCTGTAAATGGCTTCATGCTGATGTGTCTAATGATAAGGGGATGTTGACTTGTGTTTGCAGGAGCAGCGTTCCTCAGAAGGTTTGCTCGTGTCAGTGGTCAGTGGAAATGTGCCTTCTGCTTAACAAGAGACGGTAAAGCAGTCAAAGTTCAGAGGACGATATTCAGTGAGTGTTTCTACATCATGGCCATGGATGAACTGAGCAGAGTCACTGGTGACAAGGACATGCAGGTATAAATAACAAACACTATTTCTTCAGTATCTGTACTGAGCTCCGTTCTACCAGCTCAAAGTTTTAGATTGTTTTTGATTGAACAGCTCTTGTAACGTGTTTATCAAATGAGATGCCACTGTCATCCATCACATTCAAGTTTCTGGTTGCAGGATTAATGTTTAATAATGATAATAATTTTATTTATATATGATCAAAACACAGTCACTAAGTGCTGTACGTACATTAAAACAGAACAAAGACACATTGAAAAGACAAAGTGTCGGTTAGTAGTCAGTCAGTAAGTCAGTTAGTAAGGCAGTTATAATAAATACATCTGTAAAATCAATAAAATGAATAAAACAGACGGAAGAAAGTTGGTAAAAAACCAAGGATAAAAGCACTGTCAGAGTTACAGTAGTCAAGACCATCTTGATTTGATTTGATTTGATGTTTGTGACAATTTGTAGCTGATAAAAACATGACTGGACAAATATTTCTCAGAGACAAGATATGAAGTCTCCCTCTTCATTTTTAACAGGGGATACATTTCTGTGTCATCACTAGAACAATGGTAGTTAATGATGCGTTTATGAGTAATATGTCCTGGTGGAAGCGTGTGTGCTGGAAACAACAGGGGACCAAGAACCTTGGCCCACACCACAGGTTAGTGAGGACACTGAGGAGGAGGCGTCACTGTACTGACAAAAGCCCAGTTTGATAAATATGAGGTAAATCAGTATAAAGCAGCTTCCCTGATGACAACCCATTCTTCAAGGGTTTAGTGAAATTCAAGCATCAGCCTGTGAGGAAAAGATAATTAGTTACTTTAAATTCAATTATATATTATTCAAAGGATACCAGATTTCCATAACATGTGGTCTGAAAATACCTGCACCACAAAGTTAGGTGACAGTCCTGATCTTTCCTCCAGCACTTGGCCCAGGACAAGGTTTCTTGAAAACTGCTAAAATAATTTGATGACATACATACGGCAGTATTTTGGAGCTACATGAGACATTGGATTTTAACTTCATTAACAGACCTTCTCTGTTGTAGTTGAGCCTGATTCAAAGTGGGACTATTGTGTTGTAACAGATGTTACATGTGTTGAATTTGTGCTATGTCAATGCTGATTGTGCATAAAGCGAAACAGATGTTGAAACTCATCAAGCTAAAAGTGGTTCCTTATTTTTTTGTAGATTTGAACCTTTGTTCCCCAAAAATCTCATTTTGATATTGTTGGGACAAACTGAAGGTTTCACTCATGCTGTAACTTCATCAGAGCCAGAACACTTCACATCTAGTACTCCTTGTTAAGAATATATCACAGTGACATCGTAGTATACACATTGTGGGAGCCGCAGTGAATAAGGACCTTATCTGAAGGGATGTAAAAAAAAATATACCAACAGCAAATTCAGTCTAAATTCAAAAAAATGTTTCTGCCAAAAAAAACTTTAACTAACAAAGCATAGCCATACAGAGACAAACATTTCACAGTGGTGTGAACAAGTACCAACAGCTCATTTCTGACACCCCATTTTCACTATAAAAGCATAGTTATTGATTTTAATTATTAAAGCTGTAATAATGAAAATAGGTTGTCAGAAATGATGATGCCCATGTGTTAATAAGACTGAGGGCTCTGTTTGAACCGTCCAAAGCACACAGTCACATAGAATTAGTTTCCATTTGTTGTGAGTTGATTTCATTTTGTGACACAGCTTTGAAGGAATTATTAGGGTGTTAGCAGTTGCGTTGCATTGCTAGCTAGCATGCTGTGTGCTATGTGAACATACTATAGAGGGTTTCATCTCTAGGCCTGAAAAAGCTTGATCCTTCCACAGTCGCCCTCCCATCCCCACATTATCCCACCATCACTCTCTGCTCTGTTGTGTTTCCAGCTGGAGGCTGAGCAGATGATGGAGCAGTTGATCCACTGGGTTCGAGTGGACTCGTCAGGCCTGGGCCGGCCCCAGCTTCCTGGAGATGTTGCCACGAACAGCATGGCAGTTCCCATGATGCTGTTGTGTCTGGTGCAACAGCTCACTGAGGGCCGGGGTCAGGAGGTGGTTCAGAAGTACAGAGAGCTGGGCAGCTGGTGTGTACAGCAGATTCTCCAGCACATCCAGGTATGGACACACAGGATGTGACTGATGGCATCTGGTTAAAATGACCAGCCATAATTGCAGTTTGTGATTTGCAGTTTGTGACTTTGCTTCATGATGCGATGAGATGTAGGTCATTGAGTTCATGGTGTACATTCACACAGAACATGTTTCCTTTGAACATCAAATACACAGGCTTGATGGGTAGGTCTGAAAAGCTTGTTGAGATTATGTTGCAGGGCTGGGTTTTTAGTGCTTTTTATTGTTATTACTGTGATGGTGCTTTTGAATGGGGTTTTCCTACCTCTGGAACGAAAGTCATTGGTTGTTTTCACTTTGACCTTGTAGTAGAAGATTTCCCAGTTAATATGCTGAAACATCTTTTTTCTTCTTCTGTAACAGAGAGACGGCACAGCTATTTTAGAGAACGTGTCACTGGAAGGAGCGGAGCTGCCGGGTTGCCAGGGCCGACTGCAGAACCCAGGTAAACACTCCCTGCCTGCTGACCAGTCAGCCAGATAACAGCAAACAGCACAGAGAGTGCATGAGGAAGCTATGGTCGAACTTGTTTTCCTGTTCTTAATTGCCTACCTCAGTGTTTTCCCTTTCTTTCATGCTGGCCCGTGCTGACTCAGGACATGCCCTGGAAGCAGGCTGGTTCCTGCTTCAGTACAGTGCAGAGTGGGGGGACGAGGAGCTCCAGAGGACTGCCATCAACAAGTTTGTGGAGCTGCCTTATCGGTGCGGCTGGGATAAAGAGCATGGTGGGCTCTTCTACTTCCTGGATGTGGATGGTCACTGCCCCACACAGGTGATTCAACCACCTACAGTATACACTATATAATAGTATAATATAATAGTAGATATTGTTTACGTATTATATACAGTATAAATGCATCAAATCAGCAAATACACTGTTTGTATATCTAACTAGTTGGAGTGGAACATGAAGCTATGGTGGCCTCACTGTGAGGCTCTCATCGCCTTCCTGATGGCCTACAGTCAAACCAAGAAGCCAGAGCTGCTGGACAGATTCTCTGAGGTGTATGAATACACCTTTAGCCATGTGAGTTCAAACTGCAGTGTCAACAAGGCATATTACTTATTTTAAAGGTACCATATTGTATAAAAAGAGGCTCAGAGCCTCTCTTCTGATTGGCACACTGATATGTTGATTTTGTGAATATACAAAATACATATATCTGTATATTTGAATGCACTGTAGTTCTAATGGTGTACATGTGCCTGATTCTGTGCAGTTTTCTGATGCTAAGAGCAGTGAGTGGTTTGGCTATTTGACACAAGAAGGGAAAGTAGCGCTGGATTTTAAAGGAGGCCCCTTTAAAGGTAAGAACAAAACTGAGATGTAGAACTGACTGACTGAAAGCAAAAGAAAAAAAAACTGTCAAATTACTTGGATGAAATGAAAGTCATGAATGACGCTCCTCATCTCTGCTACAGGCTACAGGCTGCATTAGCCGCTACTAGCATAACACACCTGAATCATCAACCAGGCAGTCAGTGGTCAGGTTGCATTGTGGGTAACATAGGCAAAAGGTTTTGACAAGGACAAAGAATGAATTTAATAAAAAAAGATGACATCTCTGTTTTAATACTTTCTTTTTTTCTGTCCATCAGTAATCTGACAGTTTGATAGGAGTGCTCTTGATTGAGCTATGTCCCAATTCAGGGGCAGCATCCTTCTGAGGTTGCATTTCAAGTTGTGGTGATATTTTACCACTATTAAATAATATTCGTGAATCGGTATCAGCTGAGTAACAGAAGCGATCTGATAACATCATTAGACTCATGATGAACAGGTAAAAAAACAAACCAAAAAGGATAAAAATTGACGCGCAGAGTCAGTGATTATCATTTTTTTAATTCCATGCATTATTCTCCTTTGTCAAATCCTGGTGCCTACATTACCCACAATGCAGCTTGACTTCTAACAGTTTGTAGCAGCTTAGCATAACCTGGAGCCTGTAGCAGAGAGGAGCAGAGTACAGGGATCTGGTGAGTTTCTTACTTTTTTACGTTTGTCAGACTTCACACTGGAGACACTAAAGGTTTTATACAACTTTTTACACATTTGTACTGGAACTCCGCAACAATTTGGGAAACATACTGATATGGCCTTTACCATTTCAGTTTATACTGTGTTTTAGTGGTGCATAAAGTATTACCTAACATATTCCCACAAAGTGGACCTAGAGTCTCAGGGGCCCTGAGTCTGTAAGATAACTGTTTTTCTCTTCTCTTGTTCAGGGTTCTTCCATGTGCCTCGCTGCCTGTACATGTGTGAGCGTATTCTGGACGATTTGCTGGCAAACAAGGACTGAGCATTCTCACATGAATTTTATAATAATGGGACTTATTCTGATTTGTGTGTGCTCTTTAAATCAAACTACAGTATTCAGGTTATAAAGCAAAATTGCACTAATTTTCAAACATGCATTTCTGTAAAATTACTTGTTTCATCTCATGACAAATGTCCAGTCACTGAGCGGCTCATAAATTCATTGACAAGTTATATTACAGCAGTACTGCTGCAAACAGGAAACAGTCTTTTTTTTTTTTTATATGTTAAATGTATAACAGTCCTGCATTTTCCACTTCACCTGGCTGCATGTCTGTGGACTGTAGAAGGACACTATCATGGACACAGGGAGAACCTCAGAGATACCTCAGCATGCTGGGTTGAGTTCCATCCCAGAATCGACACTGTCTCTCTATCATCACACATAGTAAAACATTAGCACCAAAAAACGTGCCTTTTACATGCATACTGAACTTTTAAAGAGCATGTATCTCTACATCCTATTCATTCCAGTTTACAGTATTCAAGCATATGGACTGCTTGTATAACATCCTGGTGAACTGTAATGTATGTCAGAGAAAAATTAAAGCTACAGTTTCTTACTGCTAATCACATGTTTGACATCTGTAGACTTGCAGGCCAGTTAATGTTCATTATATAATTCAACGTGTACATTGAAATATTGAAGCTGATGATTAAATGTGAAATATGATGTATGCAAATTATTGCATTGCAGAGATAACTGGTTAGGGTGACGTTATGTACACTTTAATGTTCGGGGGAACACACTTCGATGGGAAAACATAATCTCCTCCCAGGAATTAGAATCTAACATACAACATAAAAGGGGCTCGTCTGAAATTAACTGAAATATATCAAGTTAAGAAACTAACCTAAGGGTTTTCGTATCATTTGCTATAAGCTAATTTCTCTTTACTGGGATGGGACAGCATTCCTTCCACTAAATGTTTCTAAAGACTCAATTCCTGATTTGTAGAGCTGTCTCAGCCCAAGAGAGATTTTTGAGTACAAAATGTCTCCTCTAACCAGCGATCTCAACGAGGCTGGTTCTGTAGGCACAAATTGACCAACCACATCACGTTTCACTGAGCGGAACCGGAACCTGTAATGGTTGAGCGGATGTTAGCAGTGGGGAGGGTTCAGAGGCTGCCAGGGTTTGGTAACACTACAATACGCGTTTCAGCTGGCGTCAGTAAACACAATAGACTTTGACAGAAACACAAGAGAATTACTGTTAGATCGAAAAGAGAGTCTGTGGTTAAAAACATAGATTGTTGAACTTGACATCAAAAGAACCATATCAACGGTTTGCTGCATTGAATACAACCAATGTAACGGACCGGAAGTTCAATGTAACAAACGCGAAGCCGAAACGGAAGCCGAGAGGCGAAGTGGCCGAAGCAAACTGTGCTGAAACATTCTGTCGATGCGAATCAAAAATAGTTCATTTAGTCGAAGGCTTTGAGCATTGTAAGGCTACAGACGGCTTTGTCTTATACATCGAGGACGGAAGTAACGACGGAAATAACCGCCGCGCTGTGACGTTACCATGTGTTAACTCTGTAATGTCCTTTCATGTTACCTCACTTAACGTTAGCCAAACTCGACTCGACGTATCACAGCATCGGGAATATTACAAGCCGAGTGACCCACCAGTACAGACATGGATCCAGTTCACAGGTAGGCTTCAGTTATCAGGAAGTTTAAAAATGTGCAAATGTGTGGTCATTTCTTGGCATTTTGCTGCCTGGTGCTGCTTAGCAACTGATCTTATTGCTATGATATTTTAATATTGTTTTAGTTAGTTAGGAACTTTATTCAAGTTCCCACAACTGCAGGTCTGCAGCACGTGATCACCATCACCTATAAATTAGTAGGCTACTTTTAGTTAGTAATTAGTACACTAGTCCCTGTTAGGACTAAGCCGCAGCCGTCCTCAGTATGAAACTTTCCAATGTTTATTTCTATTTTTGACCATTTATTTCCTTCATTAGGCCGTGCCATACAACTTATAGTGCACATTTTAGGTTAATATTGAAATTAGTCGAGTTGTTTATATATATTTTACAGCTGCAAATGTAATATATGTACATTGAATTTCGATATATGAAATATATGCACATATAAAACACAAACATACACTTGGAAATTATTATGAAACCTATTAGAAATTGGAACAATTTTCATATATTGATATGTCTAGCCCATGCAAATATGTGTTTATGTGTGTATGATATATATATATATGTATATATATGGAAAGAGATATGTTTTAAGAGCCCCTAGTAAACCATGGGATCAACGCCAGGACCCTGAACTAGAGGCAGCTCATTAATCAATTCAGTTCATTAATTTCATTATTCATAGGGTTTCCCAAAATGTTGAACTCTTCCCCCTGTACTACCATAGCATTGTAAAGATCTAGGCCTGTATTGTATACAAATCTTGCCATTTGACACATAACAGGCAAATGTAAAATTTAAATGCATCTTTAGCCTCTAATGTTCACATCTCTTGTCTGACATTGTTTTGTTTTTTTCTCTCAGTGGGACCGGTGTCTTCTACCAGGCGATGCCTGCTGTTGGAGCCGATGGAAAGAACATCATGAAACTGATTCCTGTACAAATGGTCAATGGACAATTTGTCCAAACTGAAATAAACAAACCCAGATTGGCCCCTACAGCTCAGAAAGCTGTGACCTTAAATATTTCCTCAGCTCCTGTTCAGATGGTAAAAAAGGCAGATTTGAATCCTTCTGCCACCCAGCAGATTGTCAGAAAGCAGGTTTCCTTTGTGAATGTCTTGCCTAAACCAGCAGGATTTGATCTTGCTAATTCACTAAACAAGCATCCACCCCAGCAAAAGCAAAATGTAAAGGCCAAATTACCTCTGATTGCACCTGCAACAAACTGTGGGAAGTTAGTAACACTTCCATGTCAACTCCCAGTGACCATGAAATCTCCAGCACTCCCCAGTGGACAGTATTTCCAGATCCGCTCGAATGCACAAGTTCCAACGGTCCCAGCATCTGACCTTTCTGAGCTTATCAAGAAACAGATCTTTACTTCATCAGCCAGCTCCTCTCCAGGTCCAGGACTACCAAGTGTGGTTTTCATGTCACCTGTCACAACTGTGAATCAAGGTGTTACAAATGACAGCGTTGTGACTCAAGGCGTTACTCCACCATGTGATTCTGCACTTCCCTCACTCAACTTGCTTTCTAAGACTTTACGTGGGCTCCCAGCTAAAGGATCGAAAACACTGTTAAAATTGGTTCCAAAGGTTTCACAAAGGCCCAACAGCCCTATAAAGTGGGTGATTGAAGAAGAGCACAGCTCAGCGGCTCCTAATATAAATCTTCATGATCCATCTTCTGTCGCTTCAGAGATTCTTCGAACTGTGGCAGAGAGAGAAAACACAAGCAAGCACTCTGACGACATTAGAAAAAGCTCTCAGTCGAATCAGGGCAAAAGTGGACAAGGAGAGCGCAACACCGTGGTCGTGTGCAACGGGAAGGTCATTTATGTGGCCAAAAAAAGTATCCAACCATTAAAAATGCAAAAAAGGAACTCCCCCCAAGCATCAACAGAAACTTATGAATCCAACAAAACCTCTGTACCTTCAACCCAAGAGTCTTTGCAGTCAGATGCAGCTCAAACATGGCAGGACCTCAGAATTATTATTCCAGACGAGTCAGATGAAGTGATAGATCTTTGTGGCGACGATGATGCTCAGGATGACTCACCCGCACAAGCAGCATCAGTTAATGTGTCAGCTGTCTCTCTGCAGGACGATGACAATGTCATATTTGTGTCATATATTCCACCCAAATCTGAGGCTGGGTCAACACAAGGTTTGAGACTAAAAACACCAACAGCACTTGCAAGACGGGCAACAGACAAGACGGGAACAAGCAGCTTGGACAGTGTGACAAAAGCAAAGAGGCTAGATGGTGGAAGTGATGGCAGGGGTGTTTGTGGTTCAGTAGTGATGAACAGACATGATAATGAGGGCTCAAACACGATGAGACAGCGAAGCACCTCCACCCAACAGGTGGAGAGAATGGAAGTTCATGTAGAAACAGAAAGTCCAGTAGATCCCAGCACCTCTAACGGCAGCACTGGAACACGCCTTCAGAAACAGGACACCCACAAAATGGAGGTGAGGGAGGTGATGGATCTTTAGTTAAATAATCTTTAGCTGCAGCCCTACACAAGATGTCAGAAAAAGACAAGATGTCACAAAGTTTCTTTTTATTTCCCACTGATGGGTTTGTCAGCCTTCAAGATACGCTGTCAGTGCATTTTTATGTATTGTCTGTATTGTATGTTTTCTTTGCAGAGCCGTCCAGACCCTGCACCATGCAGGACACCTTCGCCGGCACCAAAACCATGTCAGATGGAGGACCATCAGCTGAGGCAGATATTTGGTATCACATCTGAGGTGAAAATCTGCCTGCAGAAGATTGATGAAGCCACAGCCTGGTCTGTCCCTGCAAAGCTTCTAAAGAGCAAGTCCATGAGCTCGGAACCTTTTTTGCAGGAGCTTCATAGTTCCTGTAAAAAACAACAAACAGACACCTACAGTTGTCTCATCAATGTTAAGAGTGCTCTTTCCAAACTTAAGACAAAGCCTCCCTCTGCTTTGACAAAAAAGTGCCATTTAGGTAAAAGTTCACTCAAGGGAGCATCATGTGATGTTGAAAATGCACCAGTGATTGGCTACGTGGAACCAATAGATGAGGATTTCCCCAGCGCAGATGGCAACGTCATCCACGGGTCACAAAACCCAGCAGCACAGCTACAGACTCAGACTTGTGAGGATCTGAACATAAACACGAGGAGAATAGGAAGGGCAAGGAAACGCACTATGTGTCCATGTTGCATCCCTGGTTCTCTGGAGCCTGCAGTAAAATCCAGCGCAAGGTTAGACGAGCCTGAGAAGTTGGCGTGGATGACGGAGAGCATGAGTAAAAAAGGGGGGCGAACAAAGGCTCCAAGAAAAGATGGAAAAACATCTGGAATCAACTGTCTAACGGCCAAGAACGAGGTTCCATCCAGTGACAGTTTGACCACATCACTGGATTTTAATGAACTAAAAAGACACAAACAGATCAAAAGACTCAAACAGCATCTAGAGAAAGAGGTGCCTTTAGAGCTGACGAGTGACAGCTGAGACAAGACAGCCACATACACTCTAATATTCTAACTAACTAATATTCTAACATAACTTTTGTTATAATCTTTTTATTGATTTACTTACATATTAACCCTCTCTTCAAACTCTTTAGTTAAGCCTCACTGTTGCTGTCCTTCTCTTGAGTTTAACACTAACACATTGAATAACTGCCAACACTCATCTGCATCATATGTTTCGCGTTATACTGTTCAATTACTAAAAGTTATTTCACACTTGCCAGCCGATCACAATGAAAGGTTACATATTTTACACTTCTCCAGTGTTTTATTTGAAGTGTTGATATCCATAAAAAGATGTAATTGTGATTTTTAAGAACCAGAAACCATCTCAGTGTAGTTTTACATCTCCTCTCTCAGGCTCCTCTCTGGAGCTCTAGCAACAGGTCAGTGAGCCAATCAGAAGAGAGACTCTGAGCCTCTCCCCTGATTGGCTGATTGTTTTCTCAGTGATTGAATGAAATGTAGCAGATTAGCAGGTAAACACTCAGAGAAACCAAATCCTGCATGGTAGGATGGTGGTTCCAGGTGGGCGGGGCTTGGGACATGGCTGAGAGCAGCGACTGCTTTGTTGTGGCATCACAAAATTACAGAAGTTCTTGCAGCTTGTTTTAAGGTTCAGTTTGTGAATATAGGCTTTGTGCATTTCTCTGTGGACTGAGCGCTCTTGACGCTTTCACAGTTTTAATATAAAACCTAGAACTGATTTATAATCAAAAACATAATATGGGACCTTTAAGAATTCTTAGTGGCTGTGGTATGATAAAAAAAAATACCTCTACCAGTATTACGGCTACTGAACGTTAATGTGTCAAATTTCAGTTTTCTACTGAGATCCATCAGCATCCACATGTTTAACTTATGTTTGTGTGAGTGTTGGGACGGTGGTACCAGCTCTCATTCTTTGTCCTGTTTAGCCTTTTTGTTTATTATAGCATGAAAATTTGGCACCTATCCAGTCCACACTGAACAGAACCTGCCTTTTGAAGTTACCCCAGAAACACAACCGTAAGAAAAACTGTTTCCTACAGTATGTTAGTATCTCCTTTTCATTTAATTGGCTTGAAATATAAATATTAAAAATGCACATAAATAGCTATACTAAACCTGAACCTTATTATGTCTTAATACATGTCACAACGGCAGCAGGAGATCTGTTCAGCAGAACTCTGTGAAACATTTAAACAAAAAAAAAAACAATGCACTATGTCACTTAGTTTAAATCCTGTAACATATTCCTTTAACATGTCTACAGGGAGTCAGAACATGTCCTATGAAGAGGCAGCTGCCTTTTGTCTTAAAGGCTATATTGATTGAAAATATTTGAGAAATAGTACATTGAACATGTCAGTGGCACAAAAGGGCAATGAAAGCATCCTTCCAATGGCCCTGAGGGCTCATTACACTGCAACTTAAAACAAATGCAAACAGACAAAGCACTGACATTCAGAAAACAAATTCAGGACTTACTCGCATGGATGTTTGATAATTAAAGATACTCAACTGTCTCTGTTATAATACATCCATGCACACGTATTGTTCAAAGCTTTTAACTTCAAAAGTCACAAAGCGTTGAACAACAAGTGCTTCCCAGCCTGGTTCATCACTTTTTTGGTGTCCCTATAAACACTTCCATTGTCATCTGTGCTACTTGCAGCGCGTTTGTCTGTTTGGTTGTGTTGTGAATATTTGCAGGATAGGTCTTGTCAAATTGATTAAGATATTTTCAGAATTTGCTTGTGTTTTGTTTTTGTGTGTTTGTGTTGAGTTCTCAGGGCCATGGTACATCCCTCCATCCAAAGCACACAGACCTACCTCCATTTTAGCCACTTGATGTGTTGAAAGGACACAGACAAACCAAACTGTCCTCACCTGACTGACTTATACCACCAAAACTAGATTAAGATTTAGATTTAGTTGTATGACAAAATAATTTCGGTCCGATTCTTACCTTTTTCAAAGACTGTGCTATGCAATTAAAAGAACAAATGATCTATGAATTTTCAATAGGCTACAAGAGAAGATTACAAAATAAGTTGTTTTCCTGTCACTGAAAAGCTAATGTGCATAAAATGTTTATAAAATTAGTTTAACAAAGACTGGTTATTAATGTCATGTTCAATCCTTGTGTCATGAAATACTAATGCAATAATGTCCACCACATTCTTACAAGATTATTTTAACAACTACTGGCGACTGGCTGACGTGCAGTGGATATTCTGTCTTCAGACCTTTCCTCTACATAAAAAATGTCATGCTCCTTAAAAGTTGTTGAGGTGTTCCTTTTGTAAAAAAAAACATTTATTATTATTTCACATTTATTGTTGAGGACTGTGGACCACCACTGCCAGAGAGACAGTAGCAGTGATCTGTTGATGCTTTGGTTTTACCTCATCATTCTATGAACTGTTCTACCAGAGTTTTCAGTTGGTCCTGACTACCACCACCGTTTCTTCATGAAAGAGTTTTTTCATAATAAAAGAGACATGGTCTTAAAGATATTTTAACTAAGAGATATATTTACTGCCCTAACCAAACAGAGAAAAATATAGCTTACTGTAGCTTGAGAAAGTCATGCAAAGCTTGCATTATAACCTGCTTGGGGTGTAAATAAATCAGTTGTCATTAGGGCCTAGATTTGCTCGAACGCCGCTTTTATTCTGGAGAGCTCGACCCGGAAATTGGTTGTTTTAGGAAGAAGTGAAACTGCAACAAGACACAAGTTGGGCTCTTTAAAGCTGGATGCGACTTCTTCATCAAGGTATGAGCAACAACAATACCTTTCTTATTTTAACACTGCTGGTGTTGTAAGTAACACGTTGTAAGAAACGCCTTTATTTAGTTCCGTAGCAACGACATATTTTGTTACCATCGAAACCGCAACCTAAAGTTTCTACGTCCTCCGTCATTTTCGGTCGTTTGGAGGGAATTAATGTATTTCTTCTTAAATCTAAAGAGATACCAGAGACATTGACACAGTGCCTCTGTCTGTAAAACCCTAAGACGTTTAGACACTTTAGTGTCCTGGGTAGGACTGTCCTGGTTGAGGTTGGAGAGATACTCATCCGCCAGAGGAATTTCCATGGGCTGTGTTGATCACAGAGGACATTTTTGACCCGTCATTATTTTCTATCCACCGGTATTATCTACATGAACGACTTTCTCCTGCTTAGGTGTGACAATATGGGACAATATGGGTCAGTAGCCAGACCAGCAGGCTGTTTATTGCACGAAAGTATCGCTTCATACATGCTTCACCACACGGATATAATAATTCTAGGCTCCAGTATGTTATCCCGTATGCAAATACAATATAAGTACATATATTGAATAACCATAAAGCATATAGGTTTATGTAAAAAAAATACATATATATATATATCTATATATATATATATATATATAATATAAAACCCTTTAGGAAGTTCGAACAATTTCATACATTGACATGATTAGCCAATACAAATATCTATGTTTATGTATGTTTGCTTGTACACAAACGTTACAAACGTATATCCATCCCAAAGCCTGTCAATATATGTTGATATTATATACAGTGACAAAAGTCTGAGACAAGTTTCCCAGAATGGGAAGATAGACATGTTTAAAATGAATGAGAAATTGATAAGGAAGATATGATCCATATTTATAGAATTTAGAAACTTTTTATATGTATGTTGTTTAATAAACTTGCATAGATAAATATATATTTTTAACATATATGGCCACATGTTATATCATAAAAAATATAACTAGTTATTGATATTTTATTTTTTAACCAAAATAAACCAACACACCACAGGGTGTGAAATACAAGATCTGAGGGCTACATTTCAGAATAAAAGTTGCAGTCAATTATCAGTTGCCTGGCAGATTATTTAAACATACAATTTCCACCAAAATTGAATGTTACACATATTAACATCTTACAAAACCTTCCACAGTCCTCAATATACCAAGAACATGACCGCAGGTTCCTCAGTGGACGCTATGGCCCTGCTGATTAGCTAGGATTTCATCTTCAAGAAATAGCTGAAATTTTGCAAAAGTAAAAGCTCAAACGAAATTAATGTCAGTATGTCATTAGTAGAATAATCTGTAGTAGTTGTCCTCAGTTAATAAGGGACCACTGAGTCAATATCTGTTATCACCATAAGGCAACAGCACAGGATGAGGTTCTATTATTGATTTATCTATCAACTGTTTTCTGAATCTAAATATTCACATTTTTCATTTTGTCTGAATAATATAAAGGTATTTAGTTCATGGTGATATGAAACAGAAAAACAGCAAAGCTACACACTGGAATTTGTTTTAAAAACTGTACAAATTTGATAATGAGTCGGCTTATTAATGATTGCAACCATTGTTAAGTTTAGCCAGTTAATGTAGTATGAAAGTATAAGAAATTATGGTAAAGTCCCATCCACAAATTGCATTTCAAAGCATCAATTTTTAGCAGGGAGGAAATAATGGGAACTGGTGCAGTTATTGTGCTCTTTAACAAAAATCACGCACACTGATCAACTCTTTTATGTGTACTCAGGGAAATACACAGAACATGGATCCTCCTGGCAGATTGGAAATCTACATCCCAGCAGAGGCTGAGGTGAAAAGCATCTCTCTGTGGAGCTTACCAAACTCAGTACTGAGAAGAATGGGCCTCTCCCTGTCTGACTCTAAGGAGGCAGGCTCTCCAGAAGGCATATGGATTTGTCCAGTAACATTACGGAGGAAAGGGCAGAAACCAGTGGAAAACATGTCCTCACTGCTGGGCAGAGAGTTTCAGGCTGCACCGGGTCCCCTCCGAATGTCTTTTGTCTCCTCCAACCGTGCAGCTTATGAGGTGCTGAAGGGTATCCCCGGGAAAAAGGTCTCTGCACAGAGATCTCACAACTCCCCGTCTCCTATAGCTTTGGCACCAGTGAGGCACAGAAATGCAGTTGTCATCTATCACGGGAACATTTACCTGTCCATCAGGAAACCCAATCGAAGCCAGAGTAAACCAGAGGCACATGACCCACAGCCGACTGCCCAGTCTTCTATTCCTTCAACATCATCATCTAAAAGCCAGAGGAAGGTAATGTCACATTTCAGTTGGTGATTACAATCGAGTTACAGCAACAAACCAGTTTAAAAAATGTAATTGTGGGTAAAACATGACAGGGCATTTGACATGTATAACTTTAGCATTAGAAATAAAGGGAGACTCTTCAGGAGTTTACAGCCAGGTTAAGGGCTCTGTGAGGCTGTACTGACACAGTTTGACTTTGTCAGTCACAGTGTGTGTCAGTACAATGAACACTGTCATTTTCAAAACAAAATTTAGAAAGTATAATGCAGTCTAAAGTATAGTCTAGTATAGTCTGTAGTAAAATAGTGCATATTAAGTGATGTTTAGCACGTATGGGATAGAAGCAGTGGTATTGAATGATGTGGATTCTTTGTTTATCATGTACCATTACTATGAATCCCATTAATGAGCATCAGCCTTACATGATACTACTCTGCATGTCCTACAGGAGCTGCTGAATAACAACAGGCCCAAGAAGAAACACACCACGTGTAAAGTAACACACACTGAAAACAAGAAAGATGTTACACACAAGGTAAGGGACGTATCCTCATCCAAGACTGCTCGCTCTGTCCCTCAGTCCACTGGTAGTGTGCACAAAGTGGACAGCCACCGTCACACGGATGCTAGAGGAGAGCAGGCGGCAGAGGAAGCAGCAGCTCTGGAGCCAGCTTGGTTTCAGCCTGAGGGGGAGGAGGAGCAGGAGGTGGCCAACAAGGACAATAGTGGATATGAGATGCTGAACCTGGACGGTGAAGAAGCTGTGAGCACCAGTCAGAACAGTTACATGGACACTAATATGCACATTGAGGGTGATGAAGGGAACCAAAGCGGCACCAGGAGAGAGCCTCTGGGTGCAGCTCATGCCTCCACATCACTCCTGAAGGAGTTTGACTTTGAGCAGCTGGCTAAAGAAGAGATGATCGCTCGAATGAAGGCCAAACTCAGACAGAACGAAGCTGCTCTCAACAACTTCCCTTCTTTATAATGACACATCAGACAGACTTAACAGCAGTGATGACGCTTTAGTTCTGCAAAAACTAAACTCTACACAGCAGCTAAGAGGCTAACTTTGGAAGATTTGATTATGTCAGATTGCTGTAATGACCAGCATGAACAAGAGCTATGATGATGACACCTTTACCTAAGCAATTTAGATTTAGTGTGCATAAAAGCCTAAACACGAACTGTATTATTGAACAGGACTTATTCAACAGGACTGCATGAAACATTTAAACAAAAATAACAAAGCACTATTGCCCTTAGTTTAAGTTGTGTAACATATTCCTTTAATGTTTCAACAGGGAGTCAGAACTTATCTAATGATGAGGGGACTGCCTTTTGCCTTAAAGGTTATATTGATTGAAAATATTTAAGAAGTAGTACTTTGAATGTGTCAGTGTCACAAAAGTGCAATGAAAGCATCCCTCCATCCAGAGTACGCTAACTTACCTCCATTTCAGTCACTTGATGTGTTGAAAGGACGCCGACAAACCAAACTGTCCTCACCTGACTGACTTATACCACCAAAATAAGAGTTTAGTTGTATAACTGACGGTCCTCTTCCTTTCTTTTTCAAAGACCGTGCTATGCAATTAAAAGCTCTAAAAACTATGACGTGAACATACTGATCCTGAGGTCAAGAATGAATGATTCGTGAATTTTCAATAGGCTACAAGAGAAGTTTACAAGACAAGTTATTTCCTTAAAAGCTAATGTACATCATATGTTTTTGATATTTGGCTCAACAAAGACTGGTTATTAATGTCATGTCATGTGCAATCATGTGTCATGAAATACTAATGCAAGATGTAGATTTTATTAGGACACTTATGTGAATAAATTGCTTTGTTGAATTAAGTCTTGTGAGCTGTAGACAGTAGAAATGACTGTATAGTTGTTGGAGCGAATTTACATCATTAATTTTATGTTTTTAGCAATGCAGCGTATGAATAGTGATATTTTTGGGTCAGTAAATCTTTGTATCACTCTTTTAGTCCAACACATTCCTACAAGGCAAGATTATCTTAACAACTACTGGCTACAAGTCCATTGTATATGTAGTGGATATCCATTGTCTCCAGACCTTTCCTCTTCAAATAAAAAGTCCAACTCCTCAAAAGTTGGCAAGGTGTTCCTTTGTTAAACGCTTTTCCTATTTTTTCAGGTTTATTCTTGAGTGCTGTGGACCACCACTGCTAGACAGACAGTTGCAGTGATCTGTTGTTGCTTTGGCTTGACCTAGTCACCCTATGAACTGTTCTACCGGAGATTTCAGTTTGTCTTGACTCCTACCTCTATTTCTACAGGAAAGAGTTCATGATAAAAGAGACATCGTCAGATATATTTACTGCCCTAACCGGCTCCAGTCCAGATGATGGCACTGCTTCTTTTTTCCAAATAAAAGCACAACTTGACACTTCCCAATATTTATTAATTATTTCATTTCTTCAGATGAAAATGAAGAGAAAAAATATAGCTTACTGTAGCTTTATACAATTACAATATTATGATTTATTTTATTATAAGGAACATTCCAAATCGGAAGTGAAGATGTAAAGCAAGTACAGATGTCCAGTAGGTGCATGTGGCCTTCAAAATAAAAGTGGGGCATTGTAATTTTTTAACAGAAGTGATTTGATGATGCTTTTGCCCTGCATATCAGTACATCTTAGATCTACTGACACCATATTTGCCCAGTCTCAACCTGAGGTCTTCAGCCACAGCTCTTTTAGCCATTCCACAATCTCAGCTAAAGACGAAGGCCCCAACTCTTTGCAACAACCACCCAGAGGAGATTAGACTGGCGAGCTCCTTACCCTCTTTTAAATCCTTCTTATAGACACATTTATAGGTGTACTTTCTCTGGGCAGGGTTTCTGAATTTACTTCTAACTTAATAAATCTATTATTATATTTAGCAATTAACCTGATTATTATTTTGTTGATTATTTTAATCATCTTAGAATTTTGTATTTCATTTTTACTTTATCTAATTTTCACAGTTTTTCTCTTATATCTCCTCCCCAATGTTGTAGAACCTTTAAACTGTTTTTAACCAGTTAATTTCATCATTTATTTTTATTGATCATTCTCAACTTTATCATGTCTCATAAAGTACTTTTTATCTGTGTTTTGAAAGGTGCCATATAAACCATATCATCATTATATTGTTATTCTTTTAACATATAATTTGTGTTTTAAAGTCATGCGAAGTATCTGAGTTTGGATTATAGCCTGAGTGTAGTCTGAATAAATTAAATTAGTAGGGCCTAGATTTGTTGAGATGCCGCTTTTATTCTGGAGAATTCGACCCGGAAATCCGGTTGTGGTACGACGAAATGAAAATGCTGCTAAACACAAGTCGGACTCTTTAAAGCTGGATGCCACTGCTCCGTCAAGGTATGTGCAACAATCTGGGCTCTTTTTTATTTTATTTTAGTACGGCCGGTATTGTAAGAAACATTTGCCCGCCTTTATTTAGTGTCGTAGCATCCATACATTTGTTACTATGGAAACCGCAATCGGTTTTCCACGTCGTTGGTCATTCGGTTGTTTCGAAGGAATTAATGTATTTCTACTAATCGCTAATTGTGACACGCAATCAGGTGTCGACGAGATGTCTGGTCTAAAATCTGACCACACGAGAGACACTGACAGTGTCCTGGGTAGCACTGCCTGATTCGGTAGGAGAGACACTCCTCCGCCAGAGGGAATCTACCAGGGCTGTGTTTCATCATGTCGACCTTTACCACGGCGACATTTTTATTGGTCCTTGTTATTTTCTTTCCACTACTGTTATCTACATGAGCGACTTTCTCCTGCTCAGCTGAGGCTCAGGCTACACAAAATCACAGCAAAGGTACACACTGGAAATAAAAAAAAATAATTTAAAAAAAAATGCAAATTTGATAAATGGGTCAGCTTATTAATGATCAAAATTCTCTGAAGAGTTATCTTGTAAACTAATCATTGCAACAACTGCTAAGTTTAGCCAGTTAATGTAGAAGGAGAGAATGAGAGATGATGGTAAAGTCCCATCCACACACATTTAATTTTAAAGTATACATTTTTAGCAGGGAGGAAACAATGGGAATGGGTGGCGTTATTGGGCTCTGTAATAAAAACACTGATCAACTCTTTTATGTGTACTCAGGGAAATACACAGAACATGGATCCTCCTGGCAGACTGGAAATCTACATCCCAGCAGAGGCTGAGGTGAAAAACATCCCTCTGTGGAGCTTACCAAACTCAGTGCTCAGAAGAATGGGCCTCCCCCTGTCTGACTCTAAGGGCTCCAGGAAGCTTGCAGGCTCTCCAGAAGGCATATGGATTTGTCCAGTAACCTTACGGAGGAAAGGGCAGAAACCAGTAGAAAACATGTCCTCACTGCTGGGCAGAGAGTTTCGGGCTGCACCGGGTCCCCACCGAATGTCTTTTGTGTCCCTCAACCGTTCAGCTTACAAGCTGCTCAAGGATATCACTCCTGGAAAAGGGGTCTCCACACACAGATCTCACACCTCTCTGTTACCTCAGGGTTCTGCACCACGGATCTACCACACTGCTGTGGTCATTTATCACGGGAACATTTACCTGTCCATCAGGAAGCCTGATCGAAGCCAGAGTAAACCAGAGGCACGTGACCCACAGCCGACTGCCCAGTCTTCTATTCCTTCAACATCATCATCTAAAAGCCAGAGGAAGGTAATGTCACATTTCAGTTGGTGATTACAATCGAGTTACAGCAACAAACCAGTTTAAAAAATGTAAGTGTGGGTAAAACATGACAGGCCATTTGACATGTATAACTTTTGCCTTCTAAGGCTAAGCTAGATAGTTCCAAGCCAGTTTGCCCTGCTGCAGAGTCTAACCCTCATTTCACTGCTTTGTTTTACATTGTTACTTGGCACGTGACAAATAAAACTTTGAACTGCTATTTAGTGGCTGAATTACTTATACTGGAAACAAAACAAACACAACAATATAATTATTTTATATATGATATCAGATATTGCTATACTTGGGCTGCACTGTATTGAGATGTAAAATTTTGGATATCGCCCAAACCTAGTTGAGAAATCGCAGGCTGGACTGAAGTAATGGACCAGATGACATTGCTATCACTATAGGCATTTTGGTGGTCAATCGTGGTTTTGGCCATGTGATTGCAAGATCTCATTAATGCCTTGAGATAACTTTTTCAATTAGATTTTGGTGGTCAAAGGTAAAGGTCAGTGTGACCTCACAAAACACTCACAAAAACAGGATGTAAGTCTCTGCTGTGGACTGTGGGGTTTTTGTTTATCATGTACCATTACTACTGAATCCCATTAATGAGCATCAGCCTTACATGATACTACTCTGCATGTCCTACAGGAGCTGCTGAATAACAACAGGCCCAAGAAGAAACACACCACGTGTAAAGTAACACACACTGAAAACAAGAAAGATGTTACACACAAGGTAAGGGACGTATCCTCATCCAAGACTGCTCGCTCTGTCCCTCAGTCCACTGGTAGTGTGCACAAAGTGGACAGCCACCGTCACACGGATGCTAGAGGAGAGCAGGCGGCAGAGGAAGCAGCAGCTCTGGAGCCAGCTTGGTTTCAGCCTGAGGGGGAGGAGGAGCAGGAGGTGGCCAACAAAGACAGTAGTGGATGTGAGATGCTGAACCTGGACGGTGAAGAAGCTGAGAGCACCAGTCAGAACAGTGACATGGACACTAATATGCAAATCGAGGGTGATGAAGGGAACCAAAGCGGCACCAGGAGAGAGCCTCTGGGTGCAGCTCATGCCTCCACATCACTCCTGAAGGAGTTTGACTTTGAGCAGCTGGCTAAAGAAGAGATGATCACTCAAATGAAGGCCAAACTCAGGCAGAACGAAGCTACTCTCAACAACTTCCCTTCTTTATAATGGAACATCAGTGATTAGGCATCAGTTCCACAAAAAATAAACTCGGGTTAAGTTTATTAGAAAGTATTTAGGATGAAGATTAGTCATGACATCGATTGGTTGATCTGTGCATTCAGCACTTTAATCCAGAGATGTGAGCGATAACGTAGAGATAGTTATTCTTAAGCTCATTCAATGAGTTTGTTCACAGATGCATCAGTATAACATTTTCTAGCTCCACACCCCCAGAGGTTTTTACTTTTCTGTGCCAGCGACAGCCAGGGCCGGAGGCATTTTGTTTTCGGGTTGTCCGTCTGTACATATGTACGTACGTCGGTCCCAATATCGTGGACACGATATCTCAGTAACGCTTTGACGGAACTTCTTCAAATTTGGCACCAACATTCATTTGGACTCAAGGATGAACTGATTAGACTTTGGTGGTCAAAGGTTAAGGTGACCTCAAAAAACACTTTTTAGCCATTACACAAGACTTCACACAGCAATTAAGACAAAATTCCACACAAATGGTTAATGTTTTATATGACTGGATAAACAGGGATGTAACCTGAATTTAGTCTGAGTGGTGGAGGCATACAATCGTGAGGCGGTAATTCTAGTCGAACTGAAGCTGACTCAAGTGACATCACTCGAGGACATGTACAGACTTCACTATCAGACACAGCTTCTTCTGCAGACACTGAAGGCTTTATATAACTTTTTTTCACATACTCAGTAAAACTCCCCAACACCTGGAGACAGACTTTAATGTGTAAAATTCGTCGAGTTACTCATCATACACCTCAGTCTTTATTTTCATCACAGCCTACATGGGTCACCAGTGGAGTGGACTGTTTCCCAACCCATAGTCATAATCACACATTCAAAATGAGGCTGTTCTTAAAAGGTTGAAAATTACCAAAGGGCGTGATGTGGAGTGTGTGGCTGAGGACAGGAAAATACTGACACTAGGTTTTCTGTATTGTTTAGTGAGGCTGCAGATGTTGAGTTGTCAGTCTATTGAGATCACTGATTGAGTTACTGTGATGATCTTTTGCCTTGTGTGACTGAGATAAATCTTTATTTCGGGATCATTACTATTATATGATGGTCACAATGGAAACATTATGTTTAGTTTAAAAAATCTTTTCCTTTGGCACTTTTACTGGTTTCTTTTCTACAATGCTTCTTCCATTTGTTCCATTACTACTTCTCTCCTCATGCTTTTATGTAATTGAGTCCTGTAGCTGTCTGACTTTCTATCAAAGAGCCTAAAAAATGGTTGCTCATCTGTTGAATCAGTGACTCAACCTAGAGACTTTCATGTCCAGACAAGCCTTAGAAACGCCAAAAATGAATCTGACTTGTGAAAGCGGCTCCCTTCAGTCCTCTATATCCAACATGTCGTTGGGTTTGTTACCACGAGTTGCTCAAATCCAGCTGCTATGTTCTCGTGCCTCAAATGTAATTTATGTTAACAGACACAATTACTTTAGGCCGGGTTTGTTTTTGTTGTTGTTGTTGTTGTTGTTGTTGTTGTTGTTGTTGTTGACTTTTTCAAATGAGATCTCAGAGGATGTACTTCTGTTACTGCAAATAAAGAAATGAGTGTGTCATTACCGTTGACATATTTTCATTACATGAAGATAAACAATAGCTACCTACTGAAGGGTTTGACAGCATATGATGCAGCCAACTGTCTCTGTGACGTCATTACTGGGACTATGTCTCACCTACATCTATTTACAACATTGCTGCATACTGGTTAATAATATGTTCAAATGCTCACTTGAGGATGCATCAACACACGGTGAACTGCAGATGTTACAATCTGGTGCAGACGTCAGAGACCAGTATGTGCTCACTTGGTCATTTCTGTGTGAATTAGATAGCTTTGAATTGTTTCTTTCTAAATGCTGTGCATGTGTTGATGAAGATCTTGTCTTCATTTGCTTTTATTTTGTCTACTTGCAGTGTGTTATGCTCTCAGGGCCACTCACTGGTGTCCAACAATGAACAGGACTGAAGACCGCGTTGCACAGTTTTCAGTGGGTCTTCATGTGGTATTAATTCAGCTGTATGATCAGTTTGGAGGATGCAGCTTGTGATGTTTTATTTTGTCCAACCCATTTAAATTCAGTGGACAATATACTAGAAACACCTTATTGTATAACTCATTGCAATTCAACAGGAAAACAAAGTACATCCTCCAAAGTGATCATACAGTTGAACCGACATTGCTGTGAATCTGTTTCAATAGAAACTGAACATTCTAACCTTCATCAACAGAGGGTTAATCGAAGGACTGTTGTATGAGCTAAAGTTTACTCAATACTCTGGTGGGTGTATACACACTCATTAAATAGAAAATGGATATCATGTTTGCGACTGTATGAATATCCTGTTACAAACACAGCAGGAACACAGCTGAACAGTGACAGTGACAGTTTGTTAAATCATCTGAGATGAGATATGAGATTGAAACAGTGTGAGGGGCGAAGGGAGGAAACCTCGGTGCTGTGGTCCTCCCTCCTGCTGCCTCAGTATAAGACTGCAGTTCTGCTGAAGTCAGTCCACACAGACAGGATGCACTCGACCTCCTCCTCATGCCGCTCCACTGCCAGACCACAGGTAAGACCTGGTTTCACTCCACTGATCCCTGAACTGGGACTGACCACACGTAGCTGATGCAGTTGCTGATGTAGTGCAGACAGAAGGGTTGAAATCATTTGAAAGTAACTGAAGATTTTCTGCTTTTCTCACTGGTGATACTTTATTAAATTGGTGCAATAGTTTCCTCTAATTCCTGGAGCACAGTAGGTCAGTTCAACATGCACATTTGTGAATTTACCGAAATTTAACAAATTCCAAACAATTGAAATGGACAATACAATTCAACATATGGAGGATCAGTTTCCAGCAATGAATAAACGAATGAATGATGAATGTTCAAGTTTATTGATATTATCATATGCATTAGAAGCATTACGATGAAAAACCGAAGACTACCTCTATGCAGTGCACAGGACATTTGCTTATTGATTTTGTATTATATTTCTATTATATTGTCCACTGAATTATATATATATATATAATATATATATGATATATAAATATAAAATAGTTATTTCTAGGAAACCTTGGAAATTATTAGGAAAGTCTTTTGAAAAAAAGTCTCTTTGTAAACAGTTTGGATTTTGAACTGATGACGCACATGACGTTAGCTTTATGATCTGCTGTTGGACTTCATTATTCTATAACCAATTTATAACCAATTTATGACCAATATGATCCCAGTTTTGACCCTTGAGTCACTTAATAGCTTGATGGGGGAGGGGGACATTTATGAGACAGATCTATTATAAATGTATAACTAATTTTATATTTCTAATGGAAAATGAATTAGGGTGGAAACTTTTTCATTATTAATTGAATACAACATTATTATTCTTTTAACATCTTTTTAGTCAAAATTAGACTAAATAATTTATAGATCATTTCAGGACTAAAGGTGAAATAGCTGATTTGTCCAGAGCTTTCAATCACGTCTCACTGTCCGTCCCAATGAACAGAGTTATGATCATTTACTCACTTGTCATATTTCACTTCAACAAAATGTCTGTATTTAGTCCACTGAGGCTCCGTCCATAGAATAGAATTTACAGTTTGACACCAGTCTAGTTGCTGGACGGGGTCATGATAGTTTTTTCTATCTAAAACGGGGTCAAAGGAGAGGGAAAGGCTGAAACACCTGCTGGACTCTTGCATGTTTACTAAATATCCAGTCTGATATAATATGATTACATTAGGAATCATGTCCATAGTGTTTCTTCAGTTACCTCACATTCAGAATAAAATCAGGGAAGTTACCATTGATCATGACTCTTTATTATAAAGAGCAGGGCCAGGCATTTAGAAACACTGGTGTCTGAGTACTCCAGGATAACCAGGCATTTTCACATTCCCTGTTTTTTGTACAGGACAATTTTCTATTTCCACTTTCTGTTTAAATATATTTTCTGCAGACATCTCCCTCCACCTTCGTCTAAATGCTGTTTCAAAGCCCATAACTCAAGGCAATTTTGGCAATTTTAGACAATGACATGCAACAAAGTTAAGGTGGATGGTTGGCCACCAGAGTGGCACAAGTGCATGAATTTAATTGATCAGGGGCTTGGAAAGAAAAAAGCACCAAACCTTTTGCATGTTGCATGTTTTGTGTTAAAGTTGTGTATTGAGATTTTTCTTCTCGTCCTCAGGTGTTGTGCGTTCAGATGTGTATGTTCTACTGTGCCATGTGCCTGGCCGGCTGGCCGCTTCCCTCAGGAGCAGCCAGACTCCGCTGCGGCTCTGATCTCCTCAGTGACCTCATATTTGTGTGTGGGGATCGTGGAATCTATTTAGGTGAGTCTATCTTGATCTTCCATGATCCACCTAAGGAGCTGCCAATGAGATTTAGACTTTTCTTCTACACAAGTTGAAACTGTTATGAGGTCACCAACATCTTTTGGATCCATCCTCTGTAAACTGGAATGCAGGTGAATACAAGAAGATATTTTAGGTATAAAGATCATGAACAAATCTGAACACAATCCCATGTTGAAGCTGACACCATGCACAATAACAAGCTGAAGTTAGGGACTCTCTTAAAAGTGCAACATGTCTTAGAAAGCTTCTCAAATTTTTGCCAATCCATTTTTCATTTTTCGCTTCATATACAACTTTATTTGACCAGGGCCTCCTCCCACTGCATGCACAGACATCCACTGGCTCCCCATGGGGGATTGATCTTTTCCTATAGTGCTGTTGTATCACTGACTGAAGATACTGACCACAGTTTTTATTTAGGCACATACAGACTACGTGTTTCCCAGTCATGAGTCATATTGTCAGTATGGGACATATTATGATGTTTGCCTGGAACATAAATAAACTGCTTGTTCACAGGACGCTCAAAAAGCGATGTGAGTAAATAAACTGCGGGATTAGAAGATAAGATGCAGCCAGCAGGAGTGTCATCACCCAGTAACATATCAATACAGAGTCCTCTCAGCAGCAGCATACAATAACAGTATATTAGTATTATAGTATATAATATTCATCATGAGAAGACACAAATGAGCTGCTTGCTGCAACAGGGATCAAACACTTCATACTGTAAGGCTGTTTTGCAGCTTTTAATTTGAAAATATTATTATCAATAGAATATTTCTCCTACTGCACACAGAGCCTTACCCATAAGCCCTTTCACCTGATTACCTTTCCCCTGTTCTGACCAAGGCCACCTTCTCCATCTGCTATCAGAGTGGTGGCAATCCACCAAAATGGTTGTGTACCAACCAGAACACTGTGCCTCAGTGTGTGATAGCTTTGTTGTTAAAACACTTGTTATCTGAGGCCGGTTCAGCTTTCACATTAATAACAGAAGAAGGTGCAGAAAGGGAGGAACAGCAGTGGAGGAGCAGAGAGCCTCTCAAATAATACAACAACTGACAATTCTCAGTATAGACTGTATTGTCCTGTGAGGTTATGGCCCATTTTATACAGATATCAAACAAGATTATGCTTGAAAGTCTTTACAAGTTCTAATCCTTCAAGACTATATTGAGATTTTTCACTGGTTAATTGAAGATTAACTAGATGAAAAGTCAATAGAGTCAATCAGGTTTCATCAAGACGTTGTTATCCCTGGAGCCATGCAGCTAGTGTAGCTAAAAATACCAGTGTTGGCAAACTGAAAAACATATGGTATGAGGATAATCTTGTAGAGAAGTTGTCACAATCAACACAAAACGTTCACTAGTGGCACCTACAACATAGAGTGGCAGCTGAAGAATATTTCCTGACAACTGTCTGTGGATTTTCATGATTTTTAAAAAATTTAAGTCACATTATTCATTAATCACATTCAGGCTCTGCACGCTTTTGATTTTTATGACCCAATGATCTTTCCTACAGTGCCACCTTTTAGATTTCATTTCAGTTCTCTTACTGGAAAGGCTCTTCCAACAGCTACACCATCAGTGTGGCTGTTTTGTCCAGTGAATTTAACTTTGCATTGCAGTGTGTGATGAATCAGTGGAGGACGCTTTGTCAAAAACATTGCATGTTTTGGCTTGAGTGGCCTCATGAGACCTGTTTTTCTTTCTGAAAGTAAGGAAGGTTTGACATGAGCTTCTTGTTTACCTCTGCAGGTAAAGGTACGTGGTCTGGTTATGGTGCTCGGCCGAGAGGGAAGGGGATAGTGGATCAGTGTTGCCGGCCAGCCGGCTGTGAACTTCAGCATCTGGAGATGTATTGTGCCAAACCAAAGATCCAGCAGCACATCACAGCTTACCCAGCCACAACAACAGCAGCACACACTACTACACAGCTGGATGTGGTAAGAGCTACAAGCTACTAACTACACTAACTAGCTTTTTCCACATCTGTCAAACGCACTTCATGGTCCTCAGCATTGACTGGATTTGGCTTTCCTTTATAATCAAGCCATTCACATCCACAGCAAGACTGTCCTTGAAATAAGGTTATGTCCACACTGCTACGTTTTAGTTTTATAACACATCTCTTTTGCTACGTTTACTCCTGTCCACACTACTCTGGAGTTTTCAAGGGCCTAAATCTGAGACTTTCAGAAGCGCTGCCAGCCCCGTTGTAGTTTGAAAACTCCGCAGTTGCATTGTAGTCTGGACGGGCAAAAACAAAGACCTTGGAGACGATGACATAGACACCCACAGTTGCTTCCTAATTGGTTCTTATTACCCTGGACAACCAGTGGGGAATGCAACATGGATAATGAATTGAAAGAGTCACTGACCTTGTCTTTGCTAGCAGCTGTTGTGCAGTTAGATTAAATTGTATTATAAAGCTACAACTGTCTTTGCTGTTCCTCGTTCGTAGTATTTTCTGTAACTAACCAACTGCAGAGTAGACAATCTGCTTCCTGTTTATACTGGCACGTGCATGGTCAGTTTACGTGAATGGTCATGTGATAGTGTTAGTATGAACAGATGCTATTATTAAAACGTAGCAGTGTGGACATAGCCTAAATCCAGGGTTACAATCTCCCCTAAATTATGACCACTTGTTATAACATGACCAGAGCTCAATGTAATGACAAATAAAACAGAGTTAAGAATATGTTGTCAAGCTCCGTTGCTGTCTACAGTGCAGTCCAGTTAGCATGAGGCAACAACCTCCACAAGAAGCAAAACTGTGAGAATCAGTTAAACAATTATTTCAGAGAAACACAATATGACAGACATATACAGTGTAAGATGGAAACATTAAATGTGAAAGTAGTGACTTCAGTAACCACAAAACACCACAACAATTTGATATCAATGATAAATCCTAGTTGATTAGTGCAAGGTTACCCACTATAGCCAAGCTGTCCTTGAATCAACTCATTTTTTCCTATCTTTGTGTTGCAGGCACAACAGTTCCAAGCAGTATTTCACAAGAGACTTGTAGAGCACCTGGGAACTCCCAACAGTCCAAAGAGGGACGCATCTAGAAGGAAAACACAGCCTTCAGGCCAACGGAAACGCAAATCATCAAACAGGAGGATTAACATAGTGAACACATCCAGCAGGCCTCCTGCAGCCTCTGAGAGTCCCCTTCAAAGAATGATGAGATTTGAGTCTTGACCTCTGATCTCATGAAGAGCTGCATATTTATAGTTTCTGGATTGGACCCAGCAAGTTGGAAAGTCTGATTCTGACTGTTAAGAACTTCTCTGGATAACAGTGGCGGAAAATCACTCCAGAGCACCAGATTATGAACAGATTTGGGGGGAACAGACTTGGAGCTGTCATGTGAAGTAATACACCCACTGGCAGCCATATTGGATCGCCTCAGCTCCAGGAAAAAATTCAGCTGCTCTCCCTTATCCATGAAATCCATCCACACTCTTTTAGCTTTAAAGGTCCCATATTTTACACTTTTCCGGTGTAATTTTAAGTTTTGATATCCATAAGAAGATATATGTTTGGTTTTCAGTACCTGTTTCAATTGGTTTTCTCATGCTTCTGTTTGGAGCTCAAGCAAGAACAGTTTTGGTTTTCTTCTGAGTGGCTGACTGTTTTCTGAGTGATGCACAGCCAGGCCAGCCACAGGTAAAACTCAGCTTGTTGAAACTCACCAGTAAATGCTAATGGTGATGATCATTCAGCTTTTAAATGAGTCAAACAGATGGTTTCCTATATTAGAAATTACAATTTGAATGTGTACAAAGATTTCCTGGTTGTTCTGGTTTCTGGTTATTTATCAGCCCTTTTCCACTGCAGTAACTCACAGCCCTGAGGCTTCCAGTCATTTCAGTCCCTAGTGAGGATTTGGCATGACGTTCATCATGTGTTTCCAGTTTATTTAAAACAGTAGTAATTTATTTGAAAAAAATTTTAACACATTATCATGTCTGTGTCATGAATGTGTTAGCAACCAGTGACTTATTTAGATATTTAGCAAACATGTAGCATTCATTTGGAGTTGTATTCCCTCTCCTTTAGCTCTGTTTTTGGTCTCCACCACCTCCGAAAAAAAATATCAGACTCTTCAGCTGCTAAATGAACCACTATGTTCACCAGCTGGTCTCTAACTGTGTATGTCTGCTGTTTGCTGCTGGACAGGGACCTGACAGTGGCATGTTATGTTAGGTTCCTTCATTTTGGTTCTATTTTTGACAAAGAGCTAGCCAATAACGATGTTACTGAGATGCTAGCTTGTTAGCCACTGTAGCTAATGATATTTTCTCATTAGTCTGTTTTACTTTATTTTTCACTTTTTCATTTTTTGTTTTTCTTTATAGCACTTTGACTAAATGACAGTAGCTATACGCTGAGTTTTGGATACAGACATTAGGGCAGAATGTACTGAAGACATTTGTGGACTTACTGAATGGTTCTGACTGAGCTTATTTCTATTTCTGTTGTAATGATTTTTTTTATGTTTCCTCTGTCTGAGATTATCTAGCATGTTGTTTATTGTTTTAAATTTTGTGTATGAACATGTTTAATGTAAAAGACTTTGAATACATTCATTATTTATTTCATTATGACTGTAATAAATATCAAAACAACTGTGGATTCATATTGTTAAAAAACTTGGTTTGAGCCGTTCTTCCTCTGGCGTTTTTCACTTGGCAGGGTTTTGAATTGCAAAAATATTTTATAACAATACAATATTCAAAACAACGTGAACTTTTGTTTTGACACAGAGTGGGTTTCATAAACTGCCGAATCATTTTACTTTGACATGGTCGAAATTATCATCTCATTCCAAGAGTTGTGAAGGCCATCTCCTCCCTGTGTGTACAGCTGCTGATAAAATAAAGGGCTCCTCTATGCTTCATAAGCATTATCTCAGTTTTCATTGACGGGGGGCATAAGCGCCGATACATCCACAGTATCAGCTTCCAGGTCCGAGCCCCCATGGAAAATGCCGAGCAACCACGTGCGAAAGCGTACAATAGGGCCCAATTTTATTTGATTACAAAGTCCAGGTTGGTGTTAGGTTGCATCAGCAGCAGGGACTAAGCTGCTGTGAGTTGTGTCAGCCCCGTCAGGGCTCTGGCTGTCAGGCCCAAGTGGCAAACTGTTATGACGTTACTCATTGATTTGTTAACTGCAAGGCTATTGTACTGCAGTCACATAACTAGGAAATTCCTTAAGAAACTTTGCTCTTCTACAGCTCAGGAGACAAAACTGTGATTCGCATTTCAGCTTCATTTTAGTTTCTATTTTGTGTATAATCCTCATGAAGGAGGATTTACTGCAGGCCTGTTCCATTATACTTCATTAGTTTCATCCAGGTTCATCTAATACATATATATGAATTAAAACTAAAAAATCGTGGACACTTACAAATGCTAAAACAAATCAGCCCTTTATTTAAAGTTTACCCAATATATAGCAATACTAAATAAAATGCATTCCTTTGAACAGAATGGTAATGGGGTTAATGGGGCAGAAATAAGTGACTGCAGATTGCCTTAAAAAGGTTCAATGTGTAACTGGTGCAAGATGTCCTGAACAGTCCGTCTCATCTTGTAATACCACTTTGTTCCTCAAGAGCCGATAGTGTGTCACTGTAGCGCGATAAACTTATATAACTTACTAGTAGAATGGGAGGTACAGGAGAAACTTATCACCTGGAGGGAGAGAGAGAAACAGAGAAAGGTTTCAAATATTAATGTTAATATTTGTGTAAGAATTTAGTACACACACAGCAGTGCCGTGAAAGCAGCTGTTAGGTCATAAACTCTGCCTGAATTACACCTTATCCTTGAGAAAGTCCCTGGTGGGAAGCACCTGTTGGGAAAGAATACTAGAGATGGCTGTTGGACAGATCAATCAGTTAGACATACAGTGCATTTAGAAGTTCTCACTTTTTCACATTGTACTATTCTGCAAGCTTATAAATCGGTAAATTCATTCATCAATGAACAATGCCAGCAAGCTATCTGCTAATGCTAGCTGCTAATGTTAGCAAGCTAGCACCCCCCAATTGTTATTTCGCAATCTTGTGAAATCAATGAAATCATTAAATTCATTCATCAATGACCAATGCCATTATCATTTATTGCAATTATATATCATTGTTAGCATTATAATTGTTATCAATACCATCATTATTTTTGCAATTATTCAGTTTGTTTTTGTCACTAATAAAGAAAAAAAGAATACTAATGCCAGCTGCTAATGCTAATGCTAGCTAGCCCCACACTTGTTATTTTGCAATATTGAGAAAATTGTTAAATCGTTATAGGACCATAATTTAAAAACAATGAACATCATGTCGTACTGGAGAAAACTTCAAACTAGCGATTCAGACCATAAACACATAATGAAAACGTTTACTGAGGTAATAAATCAAGTGACAAGTAGAGTCCTTTTCCCATAGATTTCAATACAATCTGACTTCTTTTTGCAACCAGTGGAGTCGCCCCCTGATGGTCATTCGATAGAATGCAAATTTAAGGCACTTCTGCTTTGGCTTCATTTTCCAGAACTGGAGTCGACATCCAATTTTATATACAATCTATGATAAGGTCTGCCCCTACCTGTTACGACCAATCACAGAGCTGATTGATCTGACTGATCCAATCCGACTGACTCAATCTAGCATTTACCACACTCCACCAGACCCAGCACACGCTACACGCGCACAGCTTAGCGGGGTCTAACGAAGCGCCAATGTAGGATAAGGCTGGCTGGAAACTTGCTTTGACCAAAGAGACTTTGCTTCAACAAAATGGACAAACTTGTGATCAGAAATCCAAAAAACACCAAGAGAAACTCAGAACAACAGTAACGAAGATAATGATTTGTGTTGGATTGTGCACTTGGTCTGTGATTTATGTTCATGTGAGCCTCTTCACTAAATAATCTTGGTGAATATTACTTTCTTTGCATTTCATGTTTTTTATCGTTGGTCGAACTTTTTATCTCCAATCCTTGTATGTGTAAGTTTGACAGTCGTCACTGTTACTTTCCAGTGCTAACATGTGCTCATTGGGCCACCTTTTCCACAGCAGTAAAGTAACAAGTAATTTAGGCTATGTTTTTGCAGAATGTTTATTTTGGGCATGATGGTGGGACATTCAACTTGTTAGGGCCATGACCGGTAGAAACATTGTTCATCATCATGTCTGTGGAGAGGGGGGTGTTGTGTTGTAAAGGAAGTAGTTGCCTTTATTTGTGACCAGGTACAGTATACAGTTAAAAATGATTGTATTTCAGCATTGTGAGGAAATGTAGAAACAAAAAGTTAAGAATGGACCAAGTAAACACTGAACACCAAATAAATCTCCTTCACAGAATAATGGGTAGGTCAGTAATGTGCATTGCTAATGTTCCCTGATGCACCAGCTAAAGCGTGAACCAACTGGTACACAGCTTCTTCTTCTGAACAGCCAGGGCTGGAAGCATTATGTTTTCAGGTTGTCCGTCCGTCCATCCCATTCTCGTAAACGCAATATCCCAGTAACGCCTTGAGGGAATTTCTTCAAATTTGGCACAAATGTCCACTTGGACTCACAAAACGCACACAACTGTACACTAATTATGACACAATTTAACTCTAAATGTCTATAAGGATTTTTTATCCAAAAGGTCAAAGGTCAACTTCACTGTGACATGGAGTAAACAACCATGAGGCGGTAATTCTAGTTATGTTAACAACAGATTCGTCTTAGGTTTCTCGCAGCAAGCTTCATAGTAATTAAGATGCAGAAACTGCTACAACACAGAAGGAAATAATTCAGCTAACTGTTGGTTAGCAGTCACACCACAGAGATTTCCTATGAAATTACAGTCAAGCTAACAAAGTCACCGATAACATAGTGACGACAAGTATTTACATATTACAACAAGTATTTAAACAGAGGTTATTACAAGTCAGCCCACTTGCTATCGTTTTTTAATTGCCTAGTATCCATTATCATAGTGTACAGAAGCCTTTATTGAGTGACATATATAATTAGCTGAGGTGCTGATTTGGGTGTCAGCGGGCTGGTCAAGTTCTTCTCAGGCAGAAAGGTGTTTCTGGCCTTTTGACCCACAACATAGTAACAGCTGTTCACAGTCACCTTGATAAGGAAGTAGGGGAGAGCTTTCTCCTTGTGGCTGCTTGCGTCACAGTCAGATAG